TGTCTGTCCTTCAAGATCTTTGACTTGGATGAACAGTTCTTCTCCTCACTTACCACTTACTGGCTAAGTACCAGCCATGCCTGGCTCTTTACAAGAGCCGGGGACACAGTGGCTGGTCACATAGCCGCTGTGCTTGAGGTTCACCCAGAGCCAAAGGGTCAGATGATTAGGCAGCTGGGATACTGTGAGGAGGGGGAAGTTCAGGGTGCCTTGAGATCACCCAGGTGGGCCCAAGCTCTGGCCACAGGGGTCAGGTACAGCTTGCAGGAGGCTGTGTGGAATCTTGAAAGTAAGCCAGAGGTGGCCAGGAGAAAAGGGAAAGATAGAGGAGGATGGCAGAGGCCAGCAGAGGTCTGGGGCAGCGGGTGTCCTTGGGAAGGAAGATCAGCTCAGGATGGCAGCTTAGTAGGACTCGAAGGTGCCTGTGTATGCAATCCTGTTAGTGGAGAGTGCTGAGGGCTGGTCAGGTCAGCCACCCAAGCGTCTGAATGGCTTTGTAAGAATCTAGGCTCAATCTAATGCCAGTAAGGAACCATGAAGGGTTCCAGGAGGGGAGTGTGACAACTCAGTATGTTTTAGCTTTATGTGGGTGGCTGTTGACAGTCTGGAAAGATGGAACAAAGATGGCTCGTGGCATCTTCTTTATGGAGTGAAATGCCCATGCACAGGGCTGGCTTCCTGACTTCCTGGTCCTGTATCTGTGGTGACGTGAGGGACCTAGTCGGAGAGGCTCTGCACTTGCTCTCTGCTCTGCTCTGGCCATCTTGAAAATGTCAACCATTTTTAAGCTAGAGGCTTCACCTTCTCCCTTTGTGCTGAGCCCTGCAGATGATCTAGCTGGCCCTGCAGGTGTGTGTGGTTAAGTGGTGGGAATACCCTGAGAGGAGTCAAGTGTACACATGGTAGTATGGGGCTTTGTGACTCCCACCATCATTGACCGAGGGCCCTGAGCGGGGAATGACAAGTTCCGGGAGGAAGAAAGGAAATGGAAATTGCTTTTGTGGCTTTTCCCAGGAAGGAAGAGGGTATGAGGCCTGAGAGGAGGAGGTGGGTGAAGTCAGGGATGCCCTAGATGTCTACAGAGAACAATTCAGATGGCACCTGTCTCCGATGGAGAAAACCTGCCAGCGGAACTGCATTCTTTTGCAGGAAGCATTATCTACTCTTTACATTCTCCCACCCCCTAATGTATGTAGCAAATTAGGTTCCAAATTCACCTTGGCTAGAAGACTTGTCCCCCTGGCCCTGGTGGTCCCAAGAGCATCATGGGAAACTGTTCAACCTTTAAGAGGCTCAGTTTCTCCATCCCTCTGCAGGACAGCTCACCTCAGCAGGACCCGTGGTCTCTCCTGACTGACAAAAGGAGTCCGCAGGAGCACTCTTTGCAAGTTGGTGAAAGCTGCTCCTATTTCATGATCTTTTCCATGGCCTTCCTGAGGCCCGGCCCTGGAAAGCCACAGGTCAGGGTTTCTGGTGGTCTGGCTCAGTTGGGTGATGCTGTTGTGGGAAGAAAGCTGCCAGCCCCAGCTGCAGTCAGGAACCCTCCTTCTCTGTGTCATCCTGTTTGAAATGTGGAGTGGGTTGCCATAGCAACTTGCCCAGCTTGCCCCCCAGTATACCACATGGAACAAAACCTCCTGTACTGTAGAGCAGCAGCACCTAAGCCACAGGCTAGTTCCCTTGCCTCAGAGAGCGGGCGCTGTGGAGGGCATGCCGGGCCGGGAGAGGTAGGGAAGCAAGGCAGCTAGACCATGTAAGGTAGGACTCATCTCACCTAGTTCCTGGCCAGCCCTGGTGCCTGGAGCTCAGCCATTAGACTTTCATTCTTTTTGCTCAAGCCTCAGCCCAGTTAAAGAATGCAAATGACACATCAAGTTGTCATCCCTCATTAGCACTCTTCAGCACAAATGAACTCATTAGGAACTAATGGGGGCCAAAGCTCAGTGCAGGTTTTGATTAAGGGAGCAGGAAGGAGCAGGCAAGGCAGGGAGGAAAGAATGGCCCAGCCTGGACCTGAGGTTGAGCCCTTGGGTAAGCAGCGTCCAGGTATTGGGCATGTAGGGGAAAGGTGGGAGAGTCCTTCTTGGCCTTGAGCTAGTATGGGGAAGAGACAGATCTCCAGCCATCAGATACAGTGAGGATAACTTCTCACCAAGCCAGCATTTTCCATGGGGTCGTTTCTACCCAGCTGAGTGTGCTGGGAAAGTCCTAGGCACCCCGATCTCCTGGCCCACACAGCCAGCTCCTTCATAAGACATCTTACTGTGCTTTTATGCCTTTCAGGCCCAGCTTCGAAAGAAAGCATCGTGTGTGGATTAATGCGGTGGCTCTGGGGCACAGCCTCTGACTGTTGGCATGATCCTGGAGGAGCCACTTTACCTCTAGCGTGGCACCTGACAATCACAGCAGAGGTGTCACTTTTGAGGTCTGTTAGAACATCACGTGACACTCTCCCCCTGCACTCCAAGGATCAACTGACTCCAAAAGGAAGCTCTTGAGACAATAATTCCCTAAACAGAGCACCGTGGAGAAAAAAGTTTCTTAAATTCCCCAAAGGAACTCTCCCTCCCAAGCCTAGTCAGCTTGGGCTCAGCTTTTCCCTAAACAACAGGGGACCCGGAATAATGTGTGGTGGGGTGAGGATGAAGAGGTGGTATTGTGGGGTGAGGATGAAGGGAGGGGTTACTTGCTGTTGGAAGGAGGAGGAAGGGAGGGAGGGAGGGTCAGAGAAGACAAGAGTAGAGGGTGACACTAAGTCCCTGGATGGGGTGCTGGGAATGGTGGGGAGACAGCAGTTAGCGGTCCTCATCCCATCTTTGGGGATCCACAGTGGGGGCAGGTAAGCAAAAGGGGTAAGACTCCACCCATCTGAGTGGGATCAGAACGTAGGGCCTGTGTGCGGTGTGAAGGTAGTCAGTTTATAGCAGCTGAGGGTCGGAGACAATGAGCTCCTAGAGGGTGGACAAAGGGGAGACAATGAGACAGACAAGCTTGCCTCTTCTATTCTCCCAAGATGGACAGCAGGTAGTGAGCCTTTCATGTTTACACCCATCGTGCTTAGCGCTTTGCTTTGCTGTTCAGTTCCGATCTCCTCCTTCTGGAAGCCACTCCTTACTTGGTCCAGGAGACCCTGAACGACTTTCTGAACAAGCTCATCATTTGCTCTCCCCAGCCCAGGCTTTGTCCTCAGCCACAGGCAGGGCCCAGACTGCAGCATGCTTCCGGCCCCCGTTCTTTGTACGCAGAAGTTCTTGTTCCAACACTGATCAATGCGGTTAATGAGCCCCATATTTCAAGAAGCCAAACTGACCAGAGTGGTTTTCTCCATAGAGAGGGAGTTCTGAGTCACAAATCCCATGCCCTTCCATGCCAGTATTCACCCTTGAAAGCCTTGGGAATCACCAACATTGTAAGCGCCATCGATTGAATTGGGGGCCGGTGGCTCACGCCTATCATCCTAGCTACTCAGGAGTCTCAGATCTGAGGATCATGGTTCCTAGCCAGCCCACACAGGAAAGTCTGTGAGGCTTTTACCTTCAAGTAACCAGACAAAAGCCAGAAGAGGTATGTCTCAAGGGGTAGAGGGCTAGCTTGGCTTGAGCAAAAAGCCAAGCAAAGTGTAAGGCCCTGAGTTCAAGCTCCAGTACCAGCACTCACATGTCTGCCTCCCCGCCCCCCATGCCATTGATTGCATACCAAGCTGGATATTGGCTTTCCCTTCCCTTGCTTAATTATCCCAATAACTTCAGGAGCTCAAGATTCTTCTAGCAGTGCCAGCTGGAGCACACCTGCAGGTGCGAGGTTGCCTCACTGGTGGGCAGCTGTACAGCGGCCATCGCTGAGCCAGAATTGGAAGTCCAGGTGGGTCCAACCCCTTTGCTTTTGCTTGCTGAAGTTGAACTGACTAGTTCCCCCGCCCCCCACCCCACCCCACCCCCAGCCTCTCAGGCAAGGCTGGGAAATCGGTTTATTTTTTGGGTAAGGGCCATGTGGCAGGTTGATGTTAGCTGGTATTGATGTGTATGTTCAAAAAAAAAAAAAAAAGCTCTGAGAGTTATTGAATTTCAAGTCAGCAGGACTGCACCTCAAGATTTTGGGGGATCTTTTCAGCCTGTGGGCCCCAGATGCCCACTCCTGCCCCTGCAGGAAAAGCTGACCCCATTTTGGGGTCTGGGGCAAAGCAACCCTCCCTGTGTCCGGGCCTCTAGAGAATCTGAAGACTGTTGTAGAAGTCGTCTCCCCTTCTATCGGGAGGGGGGGAGGGGGGGACTTTGCTGGCCTGTGGGGGGGGGCTCTTCCCTGGCCTTCTGCAAACGCAAACTGCCCCGCACCAACATTGGGTCTGGCGACCCCCACTGGACCTCCCGCGGGACGTCATCATCCCTGCCTCCCGAAGGACCTCCTGGGCGGCCCGGACTGGGTGCCTTCCACCCCCCGGGAAAAGCTGATGCCAGGCCGGGCGAGACGCCCCGAGAAGAGGTCGGGGCGGCGCGGGGCTAGCCTCCCGCTCCTCGCCGCGCCCCCCAACACCTGGAGCGCATTAGGCGGCCGGCGCGTGGCGCGTAATTCCAAGCCGGCTGGGGGCGCCGCCCCGTCCTTCCCCCGGGGGACCCGCACTGCAGCACCGGGGTCCACGCTGCCCGCGGTCCGTCCGGCAGACGCCGAACCCCGGCTTGCCCGGGCGCCCTCCCCCGGGGCCGTCCCAGCCCAGCGCCCGACGCCCCGCGGTGCCCTCCGAACTTCCCACCTCGACTCCCCGCGACTCTTTCCAGAGTCCCGGCCCGGAGTCGACTCCGCGCCTCCCTCCTGGGTGGAACTTGGGGTGGGAAGGTGGCGGGGGGGGGGGGGGGGAGCGCACAGTTCCCGGTGTGTGTGTGTGGGACCAGTCCCCAAGAGCTGCCCAGGAGGCGCGCGCGCCCCCGATCCCGGCTCCGCGAGCCGGGCCGAGCCGTAGACGCAGGAGGGGGACACAGGGAGGGGGACACAAGGGGGACACGCACCTGGACACAGGCTGAGCACCCAGGCCACCACGAGGCCCCGGGGCAGGTCCATGGCGCGTCGGCGGCGGGCGTCGGCGCAGAGCGGGACCTGGCACTGGGTACCAGAGCGGGAGCAGCGCGGGGACCGGGGATCGGGCACCGGCGGCAGCAGCAGCCTCCTCCCTCCAGCCTTCTCCAGCCTCCTCCAGCCTCCTCCAGCGGTGGCGGCGCCCTGACAGCCGCGGCGCCCGCGGAGGAAGTGGGAGGCCCGCGGGGAGGGGCGCGCCGCCGCCCTGGCTCCGGGCCAATCCCGGCCCCTCTGCCACCTGGGCAGGGGCGCGCGGCGGCGAACACGCCCCTCCCCGCCGCTCCTCTCCCTGGCAAAGCCCGGGGCAGCGGCTCCTGGGGTCCGCACGCCCTGGTAGGCACCTGCCTCTGTCCAGGAAACGTGGACAGAGGGGTGCTGCCTCCCCTGACAAACAGAGCAGATGCCCCTCCATCGCCCATGGGGAGGGGAATGGGGGGGGTGAGCACACCCCCTGGGGCTTGACATGTAAATATCACCTTTCTTCTGGGACCTCGGGACCCCTCCATCTCCACTTTCCCCACTTGCACATCCGAACCATCCATCCCCAAACATTTGGAGAGCCACTTTAAGGAGCAACGGATCCTTTTAGAACCCAGGCACCTTCCCTCCCCAGTTTTGGTGATCCCCACCCCGCCAACAACCAACTACAATGAGCTTTTCATCAGGGGGCACTGAGCCCCAGTCTGTGGAGCAGAGAGAGAAGGCAAGATGGTCGTGAACCTGTGGGGAAAACCTAGAAAAGGTCAGTCACTTTTGAGGGGCCACATTCTGGGCAGCAGCCTCTCTCTCTCCCCCTTCCCCACCCTTCAGTCATCAGACATCTCTCCCTCCCTCCTTCCTCCTCTGTCTGTCTCTCTTTCTCTCTTCCTCCCTTCATTGTACTTTATAGATAATGCAATCATTTAACTTCTCTCTCCCTGAACCCAACCTCTGTTGGTTTTCTCTCCTTCCCAGATGAGGTAACTGAGAGTGGATGCCAGAGTGAAGTTTTGTGTTGTGTTTTGTTTCTGAGACAAAAAACAACTTTTTAAAAAACAACTGTAAAATTTTTAAAAATGTATTGTTATTAGAAAGGTCATGTACAGAGAGGTTACAATGATGTAAATCCTGTAAAGAGTACATTTCTTTTTGAGACAGGGTCTCTTGATAGAGCCCATGCTGGTCTTGAAATCCAGATCCTTTTGCCTCAGCTTCCTGAGTACTGGGATTGCAGGTGTACATTACCAAGCCCAGCATGAGTTGGGTTTTGAGAAGGCTGATGTTCACAGTAGAGTGTTGAGCTTTGTGTTTGCCTCTTTAGCATTGTTCCTTCCTTGGTAGGACCCTGGTTTTCACTTTAGTATATTCATCTCTTCTACTTAGGCACAGCAGACTGGAGGAAACTGATTTCACCAAGGGTGTGTGTGTATACAGCTGTATGTACATGTGTGCATGTGTGTGTATGTGTGAGAGACAACAGGGCATGTGGTTAGAGTGAGATGAATCAGAGTGTTCCCATTCCAGGCCTTGGTTTCAGAAAGGGCACAATGAGGAGGGAAACCAACTTTCTTGCTTTTCTGAAAGGGCCTCTGGAATGAAAGCCCTAACCAACCCCATCTCCTTCCTCTGCCTCCTCCTCCAGACTGGAAAAGGGATCACGTAGGCTCAGAAGTGGATGCCGGATAACACATGAAGTCCAGTTCAGTCAAGCTACTGTCTGTAAGCCTCACTCTCCCCTCCGACTTCCCAGTGATGTGACTGGGGACCAGGGTTCCAGCCAGATGCTGAACCTGGCTCAGCTTAATTCCTGAGGACCAGTCATTTGATGGGTTGAATCTTGTTCCCTGCCCAGCCTCCACCCACACTCTTCCTCGTGGTGCTCATACATCAAGTGTATCGGAATTCTCCAAGGAAATCATGAAGACTGCAAATCCTCCAGGGATATTCTAACCTGCACCCTTCCTGCAGGCACTCTGGGAGCACTGCTGGGCTAAGTGGCAACAGTTCTACCTTTGTTAGCCATTGTGTTGAGATACAATTCACATGCCATGAAGTGTGCCGTGTAAGTCCATGGCTTTCAGTATATTCTCATGGTTGTGTAGCCATTATTGCTAATTTCACATCTTCATCATCCCTGCACCCACGAGCAAGCCCCCACCCCCTTCCTGGCCACCACACATTTTCTGTCTCTCTGGGTCTGCTATGCCAGATATTTAATATCAGCAGATCCTACAATACGTGGCCATCCACGCCTGACTTCTTTCCCTCAGCCCAGAGTTTCCGAGATCCATCCACGAGGTAGCGGCTCTGTTCTGGTGACACTACACTGAATGGGAGTCTTACCCTGTGTAAGACAGGGCTTACCTGGGTATTGGTGGGCTGCCGTGAACATCTATGTGCATGTTAGTGTGAGCATGAGTTCGTGGGTCTCTTGCCCTGTTGTCCTGTGTGACAACAGGCCACATCTGGGACAGGGATCCCAGACAGCAGGATGTCGTCCATGTTGCTTGAGCATGTCTGCAGCGTTTGCACAGCAATGAGATCGCCCTGAGGTGCCCTTCGCAGTGTGTCCTGTTTCCAGGGACACTAGAGTGTCTGGGAATCTTGAGTGGCATGGTGTTCCTGGAAGGGCTGGCACACTACTCTGTGTCCATGGGTGCTGGGCACGGCTGGGCATCACATAGGCACTGGGCACTACTGTGTGTGAGCCTCACGCTAGCCCTCCAAAGAATTGCATTCTCTTATGCAATAAAGATGCTGGTGGAAATTACATCCTTTTGTTGTTGTTGTTGTTTTGTCGGTCATGGGCCTTGAACTATGGGCTTGGGTACTGTCCCTCAGCTCTTCAGCTAAAAGCAAGTGCTCTGCCACTTGAGCCACAGCACCACTTCCGGTTTTCTGGGGGTTAATTGGAGATAAGAGTCTCATAGACTTTCCTGCCCTGGCTGGCATTGAACTGCAATCTTCAGATCTAAGTCTCCTGAGTAGCTAGGATTACAGGCGTGAGCCACCGGTGCCTGGCTACATCTGTTTGAACGTTTGGTAGGAGTTATTTTTAATTTTTATTTATTTTTGGTCTTGGCGGTTCTGGGGTTTGAATTCAGGGCTTCAGGCTTTCTAGGCAAGCATTGTACCCCTTGAGACATATCTCCAGCTATTTTTGTTTTTGAATTAGGGTCTTGCTCTTCCCTAGGCTGGTGTGAACAACGATCATCCCATTTGTGCTCCTTGAATAGCTTGGATTTTATGTATGTGCCACCACGCTTTCCCTCCCTGTGGAGAGAGGGTCTTATGAACTTTTTTCCCAAGCTGGTATGGAACTGTAATGCTCCAGTTCTTGGCTTCCTGAGAAGCTGGGATTATAGGCATGAACCATCAATGCCCACCTTCTTTTTATAACCAAGGCATTAGAGGAATTACACTTATTTTGATAGATAAAGACACTGTATAGGTGAGGTTTCCTCCAGTTGTTAGAGACAGAAACTCAATAGCAGACCAGGACTGATGCAGAACAGGAACGAAGCTCACAGTAAGTGTAACAGCATACTAGCTGCAGGAATTATGAGTGGACTTTATGCTTCCTCTCTGTCTTCTTTTTTTTTTAATTTTTTATTGTAAAGATACTATACAGAGGGTTACAGTTACATGAGTAAGGTAATGAGTACACTTCCTATTGAGCATTGTTACCTGCTCCATTGTTTTCCCCCTACCATCCCTTCCTCTCTATCTTCTTAAAAGAAGAGCTAAGGCTTTTCTGCAGGATCCAGTGTTTCACTGCTCTTCTAGAAAGATGATAGGTAGCAGTGGAAAGCTCTGACTGTCCAGATTCTTGAAGAGGAGAATCAACTTTTCTTCTAGATCTAGCAGAGACAACCTGGGCTTGCTCTGTGCCTTCCGTACACCAACCCCAGTATCTGAGGGCATGCTATTGTAAGTGGCTCAGGTCAGGACCCACACCCAGCCCTGGGCTGGGAGGAGGAGATGCTGGGACAGACAGCCCCACCAAGACCACATATTATAGGAGAGAGTCTCCCTAAGGAACCAGACAGGGAAGGGTGGCAAGGCCTGCTGGACAGACAAACCCATAATTGCTAAGGCCACTTACGATCTAAGTTCAGAGCAGCTGAGAGCCATTTAAGATCCCACAGGGCCTCCAGGCAGAACTGGGTGGGGAGTAAAGCTGTCTTGACCCATTCAGGACTTGTCCCCATCGCCCCTGCTGAACACCGGAAGTGAGCATTTCAGCTGGGCCTGCACATGTGGCCAGCCCAGAGGGAGGTCCTGTGGTGGCTCCTCTTGCTGCTTCTCCAGCTCCCAGCCTGCACCCTGAGCACCTTGGCGCAGGGCCCTGGCTTCTCTAGAAAGGAGTGCTGGCCCCAGAGAGTCCCGAGCTCTCTAGGACTGGCAAAGTCTCCCACCAGGCCACCCTGGCTTCATTCCGAGAGACGGCTTTCTCTGAGACTCTTTCTCTGCCTTTCTCCCCTCTGTGACCTGGGTTGGCTGGGAATGAGAGATTTCCCAGGTTGCTTGACTTTCGGGGTCTGAACTGGTGAATGGGACAGGTTGGCCTTCATTCCACTTGAATCCTCTGCCTAATTTTGCCCTGTACTTTCTGTGTCTGTCCTCCAGGTCTGTCTCTCTCATTCTCCAGCTGTTTCACTTCACCTTCTTGCGCCAGGGAGCTTTCAAAGCAGCTGTTCTGAGTGAGCCTCACCATGGGGCTCCACTGTGGGGCACCACGGCCTCTACAGCCTCCTTTCTGTAACCTCAGCCCCCATCTCCTCCCCATACCTCCAGTTGATTCGTACTTATGGAATGCGAATGCCTTTTGTTTTTATTTTATTTTTTTTGTCCATTGTAGGGTTTGATCTCTGGGCCTGAGCTCTTCAGCTCAAAGCAAGTGCTCTACCACTTGAACCACTATGCCACTTCTGGTTTTCTTGTGGTTTATTGGAGATAAAAGTCTCACGGGGACTTTCCTACCCGGGCTAGCTTTGAACTGTGATTCTCAGATCTCAGCCTCCTGAGTAGCTAGGATTACAGGCTCCTGAGCCACCAGCGCCCAGCCCTCTGTTTTTATTTTAAGATAAGCTAAAGTAAACTCATCTTATGCCAAAAGAAGAAAGAAGAAGGAAGAAGGAAGAAGAAGAAAAATAAGAAGAAGAAGAAGAGATGAATTCCAAAGTAAAAAAAAGAAAGAAAAGAAAAGAAAAAAGCAAAAAAGAAACAGAAAAGAAAGTCCCCAGATTGCACTTGTCGCCTGCCGCGTGAATGCAGTGTGCTGTTGTGCTGTTCTTCCGCAGCACCCTGGGATGGGACCCGGTTAATCACGCCCAGGTGGCTGCAGAGGGCTCCGTTTGTCTTCCACTCATCACGCTGGGTCTCCTCCCTGCCCGCGCAGTAGAAGAAACGTCAATACTGTTGGAGCCAGGTGGGTGCCCCCATCCTTCCCGTCTCTGCCTGTCCCGTAACCCCAATCTCATTCCGTGACTAATGTTTCCCTCATGCCCTCTCCTGAACCCAGGAAGTTATTTTGTGATTTCCTTCTCCCAGGCCACAAGTATGTCCAGCATTTGCAGTAAAGATAGGAAAGGAAAGCAGAGCATCCTGAGTATAGGCAAGACACGCAGGGTGGATGGGGTTGGGTGTGGGGCGAAATGACTCAGCCACGGGCCCTGCTTAACCAGAGGCTCCCAGAATGCTTTCTTGCACTGTCTTCACACTTGTGCACACATATGCAAGGACCCAGGCTGTGAAGGAATGCTAGCTGTTCTTTCTGGAGATTCTAGCTCCTTCCCACCTAGGGTAACAGATTTCACCTAGGAACCTGTTGGTCTTCACCTGTAGCGTGGGAGACTCCTTCACAGCGTCTTCCTCCCCAAGACCCTTGAGTAAAAGAGGCCCCTTGGGTAGGGAAGAGGACTAGCTAGCACTCCATGTGTCTGCGTCTCCAGTTAGCCTTGGGCTCCTCCTTGGCCTGGGCCTGGGAGGCTGTGGAGATCTGAGGACACCCCGCGTTGCCTGCCTGATCTTGGAAGTGGAGGGGAAGAAACAAGGAAAGCACAGCCGTGGACTAATCTTGAAAGGTGACTGACCACGTGACTGGATGCACACTCTGATCTCTATCTGCCCGTGGCCACCCCACGACACGCAGGGGCCAGAGAGAGAAAAAAGAAAAGATGGCACCGCCTCCCTTCTCCCTTCCTGCTGCAGCATTTTGAAGCTGGCTGCCTCCCGTGATCCGAAGGCTGCACAGCTGGGGAGCTGCCAGCGGATGCCTGCTTGGAGATGGTTTGTGCGCACTTGTGTCTACACCGGGGCAGCTTCTGGCTCTCCTGGGGAGGTCAGCTCAGGCTGCCCCAGCTGCGGCTACTCAGCCCAAGTGTGTATCAGAAACAAACATCTCCCGGCCATCTGCAGCTGGACCTCTGCAAAAATGCTGAAGGACCGTGAGCATGTGACCCTTCAGTGTCTTTAACTCAGACCCTGCACGCAGAAACATTGAATTCTCGGCCGTATGAGCCACTCAGTTCATATCCAGCCTCCGTGCAATAGGCATCGGAAGATCTCACACCAAAAGCAGATACGACAAACATGCAAAATCAAAAAAAAAAAAATGGAAAGAAAGAAGAGCAGCCAAGGGTTCAGCAGTAGAACCTTACATCTGAACAACGGCTTCCAGTTTTATAAACAGATGCGATTTCATTTCAACCCATGGTAATCTGCTGCTGGAGCTTGAATTTCAGAGAGCTGCTGACATAGAGAACGAGTCTGTCTCCTGCCCGGGCTCTGGGTTCACAATTACTAAGAGCTGTGTAACTGTCTATGCCTCCTCTCCTCTCTCCTTCCTTCCCTCCTTCATCGCTCTTTCTCCTCTTCCTCTCATTCAATTTGTCTTTCTTCTGCCTTTTCTTTCCTCTTGCCCTATTTCCTCCTTTTCCTTTCTTTCTCTTTCTTCTCTCCGCTTCCTTCCTTCTTCCCTTTCTTCTCTCTTTTCTCCCTTCCTTCTCTTCCTCCTCTCTCATCTTTCTTTCTTTCTTCCTTCTTTCCTTCCTTCCTTCTTCCCTTCCTTCCTCCCTTTCCTCTTTCCCTCCCCCTTTCTTCCTTCTGTCCCTTCCTCCTTCTCTTCTTCCTTTCTCCCTTCCCTCCTCACTCCTCATTTCCCTCCCTTTTCTTCTCTCTTTCCTTCCTCCTTTCCTCTTCTCCCTCACCCTACTCTTTCTTAATCTCCACAGAGGCTTCCAGGCTCCACCCCATACATCTGTGATGGTTAATTTTAGGTATCAACTTGAATTCAAGGATGCCCACAGAGTGGGAAAGCATTTTTTTTTCCCTGGGAAGAAAATTGAGGTTCAAATCTCAGCCCAGCAACATACTAATTCTGTGACCACGGTGTCACTGGGACTGTGAAATTTACGCGAGCCAACACCAGTCAAGTATTTGGAAATGCGCCTCACTCACAGTTGACCAAGTGCTGCTTGCTTTATGTAAGGGAAAGATGAAAATAATTTTCCAGAAAGATTGAGGACTGAACTCCTTATAGTTCAGTATTTTTGCTGTATGAATTTTGAGCTAAGTTGTTCAGTGGATACTGGTTTAAGAGATTGTATCTTCTTTCATAACAATGTAATAATGTCTTTTCCTCTCTTTCACTAGTGTTTGCATGGATTCGCATTTTCAATGCTTTGCTTTCAATCTTTCTGTATCTTTTTTGTTTTAGAGTGACTCTAAGTTAGTAAGTAGCATAGAATTATTTTAAAATTCAATCTGTTGACCCCCCCCCCCAATTTTTGTTTAAAATGGAAGCACTTAAGTCCATTTGCATTTCATTTAATTGCCTCTGTACTGGAGTTTAAACCAACCATCATGGGAGTTCCTATTTGTAATGGCTAATTTATGTTCCCTTTCCCCTCTTTTTTTCTTATTTCTTTTGGATAGATTATTTGTAATTATTCTATTTCTCCCTCTGTTAAGTTGGTAGTAATAAAGTCATTTACTCGTCTTTAAACGATTCCCTAGAGAGTCTTGCATGCATCTTCCATTGCTGAAACTTTAATGTGAAGTTCTTTCCGGTCTCTTCTCAGACAATGCGCAGGTTTCAAAGCTTTTGCCCACGTTGCTGCACTCCTGATTCACGCACAACTGCTTCTACTTATTCTTTACATTTTAAATACCATGAGACATTGTTTTGTGCGGCCAGCCAATACTTTCATTTATCCACATACTTACCATTTTTATTGCTCTTGCTGCATCTTTTGCTTTCCATATGGAATCGTTTTCCTCTGTCCAAAGAACTCCATTTAGTCTTTCCTCTAGTACTAGTTTTAAAATTCAGTTCTTGTTTGTGTAAGAATGCTATCATTTCACTGTAGTCTTATAAAATAAATTTTCTCTAGGCAGAGAATTCTAGCTTGGTATTATTTTTCTCTAGAACATCTAGAAATATTTTCTCCCTGGCTTCTGATTCTTGCTACTTTTCTCAAGAACTAGATTGTCAGTATAACTATTATTTCCTTGAAAGCAAAATTTCTTTTTTTTCCCCTTTAATATTTTTCTTTTTGATTTAGGTTTTGAGGAACTTACTGTGTGGTAGATTAATTAATTGACTAAAACAGTATCTGATGCTTTTGCTCATTGGCTAGCTCTCTACCAACTGAGCCATGCCTCCAAACCCTGGTTGATTTTTTTGTTTGTTTTTACCAGTTCTGGGGCTTGAACTCAGGGCCTGGGCACTGTCTCTAAGCCTCTTCATGCTCAAAGCTAGCATTCTACCACTTGAGCCACAGTACCACTTTCGACTTTTTCTGAGTAGTTTATTGGAGATGAGAATCTTGTAGACTAGATTTAAACTGTGATCCTCAGATCTCAGCCTCCTGAGTACCTAGGATTACAGGCGTGAGGCACCAGTGCCCAGCTGGTAGGTTTATTTATATTCATCTAATAGTTTGGCTTCATTTGCCTTTGGATGTAATTCTTCTGTCTGTTTAGAAAGTTTTTCAGTCATTATGTCTTCAAACATGCTCCATAGTTAAAGACTTGCTAGGATTTCTACCCGTACCACTCATATTCTTTATCTATGCATCTTTCAATTCTTCCTTTCTGTGGTTCAAGCTGGGTATTTTCTTCTTCCTCTTCTTCAAATCTTTTCTCAGCTGAACCCATAATCATTCTTTGAAGTTCTTAATTGGGGCCATTTCTTTCTTTCTTTTTA